GAGTAGAATCCAATTCATAATGACCCATAGGCCAGAGTAGAACTTTCCCGTAGGTTTTCCAAGGCTGTAAACCTTTACAGTAACAGACTACTGCATCTTCCTTCAGCGGAGCAGCTGATTAGAACTGAAGATCTTTCTGGTAGCGGCCAGTGCTTAACCACTGCACCACCAGAACTCTTCAGTTACAACCAAGAGAGAGGAGAAGGGTGGGAAGAAAACCTTTCATGAAGGGCCTACTGTGTGTGGAGAAGAAAGAGCTGAACTCCTCAGCATACCTGGCTGCCCTTCCGCCACCAGAGGGCTGGGACCACTGAAGGGACACTCAGCTAAGGAGCTGGTTAGGAGTCAGGAGACCTGGGTTGTAGATATGGTTTGGCCATGTCATTATTGTCCTATGATTTTAGTGGAAAGACTTACTGTGAGTCTCAAGTTCCTAATCTGTAAAATGGGGCCAGTAACACCTATTTGGAAGGAGCTCTGGTAGCATAGTGGTTATGAATCGGGCTGCGAACCTCAGGGTCAGCAGTTTGAAACTACCAGCTGTTCCACAGGAAAAAGATGAGGCTTTCTGCTCCTATAAAGATTTACAGCCTTGGAAACCCTGTACAGGGTCGCTATGAGTCGGAACTGACACCACGGCACATAACACCTATTCTGAGGAGACCTGGTGTGGTGCTGTAGGATGAACACTTGACCTGAACTTCTGTTTGAACCGCAAGGTCGGTGGTTCGAACTCATCAGCTGCTCTTTGGAAACCCTATTCAGGGTAGCTGTGAGTCAGAACCGACTCAATGGCACTCTAACAACATCAACAAACACCTTTTCTACTGGTGACCTTCTTCTGAAAAAGCAGCCACAGAAAATTCTATGAGCAGAATTCTGCACTGGAACCACCCATTCTGAAGGATTAGGGTATGGGGGTACTGCAGAGTGGGCCGTGGTGGTGTGCCCAGTTTCTCAGCATTCTGAAGTCCTTCTCTCCTTATCTATTTATGACAAACCTGGAGGGTGGGAAGGTGAGGTGATGACAACACAAGGTAGCCGATAGATTGTGTGTGTGTGTGTGTATACACACCTGTCCCTTCCCCTCCACCACCCCAAGTGTGGCCTGTAGATTTAGCAGGGGGAGAGATGGTTGGAACACTCAGCCGCAGCCCAGCCAAGTACTGTCACACACTCTGAGGTATAAAAAGGGCTTGTTATCATCTTCCTGGCGTTCAGTTCTCTACGCTTGGTCTCACCAACTAAATGCCCTTGAGGTCAGGTCAGGAAACTGTTACCCTGGGACAAGGTTTGGCAGCCAGCAGACCCTGCCTGGGGAGCTGATTCCAGTAACACTGAGACAGCGCCCCCTAGTGTTACACACTCCTCTCAGCACTTTCTATGCATTTGCTTCTCTAATCCTCCACCGCCCTCAACTCAGACATAGTGGAACTGGATCCCCCGAGAGCCAAAGGGGCGTGCTCAAGTCAGAGGTGAGTGGGTGAGTGAGTGGGAGGCCAGGTCCTTGTCGGCCTGGCTCCCTGGTAACATGCGATTTTATCTCCCAAGCTGATTTTTTTTCTTACGTTGCTGCACCTGCTGAACTATGAAGGGTGTCTTAGTTTCTTAATGCTATTATGACAGAAACGCCACAAATGGGTGGCTTTAATGAACAAAAATGTCTTCTCTCACAGTTAGGAGGCTAGAAGACCAAAGTCAGGGTTCTGTATGTCTATCCTTGGCTCAGCTTCTCTAACGGGACACCCTTGGACTTCCTGGGTTTGCAGACCTGTCTTCTGGTCATCACTAGAACGGGGTGGCTCTTCCCCTGGGGGTTCTGTTTTCTTCTGTGCCTGTTCTGCTCTTTACATCTCAAAGGTGAGAGATCCTAAACACCCTACACTGATACTCAGCAGAGAAAATCCTATCCCCAATGGAAGCACATCCACAGGCATAGGGGTTAGGATCTATGACATGTATTTGGGGAGACACAATTGCATCCACAGCAAAGGGACACTGTGAATATCCTAAGAAACAGTATGGGTACTGAATCCAGAAGCCCTCAGACTGACCACAACAGGAACCCAGCCCTATCTGTGATCTTGTCTGTCTGTCCTCCTGTCTCCCACCCTCTAGCCCAGTTTCCCAGGTCCCCTGGGTACTGCTACCAAGAAAGATGGCACTGCCAAGGCAGGAGGTATTTTTAGCCAGTGACAAGAGTGTCCATGTCTCTGTCCTCCTGAGTCACACCCTGAACCCTATTTGGGGATTGTTTTCTTTGTAACCAGAGCCCCAAGAAGGGCCCTGTCCCTAGCACCCACCCATCTGTGTAGATCCTACAGTATATGTAAGGGTAAGTCAACAAGAATTGCTACAAAACCATGGAACCCTTTCTTAACAACAACAACAAAAAAAAACATCAAAAGGTGAAACTATTGTTTCTCAACATCATCTCCATCTAAGGGTTCCACACTTCAGAAGGCTGTTTCCATCTCTCTAACCCTTCCCTGAAGAATTCTGCGCTCACAATTTACACATCAAAATGGCAGTTTATACGTCCTCAAGGGACTCCAATTCTGTCCCTCTTAAATGTTCTATGAGTTTGGGTAACGAAAAGAAGCCTGAAGGGGCAAGATGAGGGCTGTAGGCTGTAGGTAAGGTTTCCCAACAAACTTCTAGAACAGCCCTTGCTACTCTTGAAGAATAAGCAAGGACTTTGGTTGGGATGGGAAAAAATTCCTCAGACCAAGTTTCCTGGCCTCTTCTCACCAATGCGGTTTTCAATGCTGTTTAAACTTCCCATGGCTCCGTTGTCCCTGAAGAAAATCTATCAGGATGACTCCTTTGGAATCCCAACAAACAATCTCCACAACCTTCTGAGCTGACGTCTCTGCCATGAATTCAACTGGCCCAGCAGATGCCCTCAGAAACTTGCTTTGATTGGGCCTTTTTTCTTTTCCTTCCTTCCTTCATTTTTCTTTCTTTCTTTCTTTCTCTCACTCTCAATCTCTTTCTCTCTTTCTTTCTTCCTTCACCCTATGTGGCGCTGTGGGATAAAGCACTGGACCACAAGGTCAGTTTGAACCAAAAGGTCAGCGGCTCAAACTCACCAGTCACTTCTTGGAAACCCCACGCAGGGTCGCTATGAGTCAGAACCGACTCAGCCAGCACCACTTACAACAAGTAAGACTAAGGCCTCCTGGTGTGGCACTGTAGGATCAGCCATGGACCTACATGAACCATAAAGTCAGTGGTTCAAACCCACCAGCTGCTTCTCAGAAACCCTGTACAGGGTTGCCATAAGTTGGAATGACTCAATGGCACTTATTAACAACAACAACGAGACCAGGGTCAGTGGAACACCAAGATTGTCTTTTGTCATGCACTGATCATAAAGATGATTTAAATGTGTTTTGTTTTGTTGGCATAAACCTGTGCAGGTATGAACTGGAACTCTAATAGCAATACTTTTTGACTTACCCCAGTTTGGTACTTGATTTGTTGTTGTTAAGTGCCGTTGGGTCTGTTCTGACTCACAGTGACCCTGTATTAGCTGACCTTGTGGTTCAAACCTTGTGAACCAGTGCTTATCCTACAGAGCCACCCCAGGACCCCACAGAGTACTTGCACTGTTGTTGTTAGGTACTGTAGAGTCGGACTCAGAGTGACCTTATGCTCAACAGTACTTGCATGTTGTTGTTGTTAAGTGCCTTCGAGGAGCAGCTGGTGAGCTTGAACCGCCAACCTTGCAGTTCAAACGGCTTTGCAGTCTGGCGCGTTAACCCACAGCGCCACACCTGGACTCCTAGTACTTGCAGAGGGAACTCCAATTTAAGATGACATAGCTCTCCACTCCGTGAGGTAGTCAGAGGGTCAGATTCCCCAGAGAATTTAGGGAGAAAATGTTTTCATCAAAGGAGATTTTCCCTGACCAACCCCTTAGTTTCCAAGAAGCCCAGGTTGGCCAAGCAGGCAGCTACCCAGACACCAGCCAGCCCAGAGTTTCCCACATTTAAGAAACTTCTACACCACCACCAGGATAGAACTACATTGTGCCTCCCCTACTTGAATTTCCTGAATGTTTTCCTTTGAATACACTTCTTTTTAAAGTTGAAAGAAGTATTTTTACAAGACACTAGATCACTATTGAAAAGGGAAACTCATTATCACTTGCCAGAAATAGAAGGCAACTGTCAAAATAAACATAATGGAAACAAAAGAGTTCTTAAATTTGATGTAGACACTTCTGCCTGCTTTGGGCTCCTAGCGGAGGCTGGCTGTCTCCTCTAAAAGGGGAACCCTCTGCTGGTTTGAGAAGGAACCCTGGTGGTGTCCTGGGTTAAGTATTGGGCTGCTAACCAAAAGGTCAGCGGTTCAAACCCACCAGCTGCTCTGAGGGGGAAAGATGAAGCAGTCAGCTCCCATAAAGATTCACAGCCTTGAAAACTTACCTGTCTTAGCAGGTCGTTCTGAGTCAAACTCGGCACTGGATGAGTGCATGCTTTAATCAGAAGGGAGGCAAATCTCTGTTGTTAGGTGCCATCGAGTCAGTCCCAATTTATAGTGTGACCCAGTGTACACAGAATGAAACACATCCTGGTCCTGCACAATCCTCGCAATTGTTATGTTTGAGTCGATTGTTGCGGTCAATGTACCAATCCATCTCATTGAAGGTCTTCCTGGTTTTCATTGACCATCCTTCTCCAGGGACTGGTCCCTCCTGATAACTCACCCACTGCAAAATCATTGGAAAGGCATTCTATGACCCAATATTCTTTCAAAACTAAGCTGTAGCTTACACAGGGCCTATATAAGTGAACCTGGCACACTACAAAGTCAACACAGCCCAACCCTCCCACCTGGGAAGCAGGACTCTTCCCCTTGGTTTTATCCCAGAAAAAGAGGGTGCTCAGTCGCATGTCCAAGTAGTGGAGGAGGCAGGATTGAGCCCAGGCCTCATGGCTGGTGTTTGCTGAGAGTGAGCATGACCATGCCTGCTTTGTCTTCTCCTTCCAGAGATGGAGCAGAAGGAAGGAAAGCCCTCAGAGGATGAGGCCACCATCTCCCCACCCGCAGAGGGCCCTGGGACCCTGGGAGATGGAGACTCTGCAAAGGAGGATGCCAAAGGCGCAGATGGGAAGACTGTCAAAGACAGGCCTGCAGATGGGGCAGGGACACCAGAAAATGCACCAGCTGAGAACAGCATCTCAGGTGAATTCCAGGGAGAAGCAAATGGGCTGGAGGAAGTCACAGTGAAATCCCAAGGGGAGGCCAAGGCTGAACTGAAGAAGGAGGCGGATGGGAAGACAGAAACCACAGAGGCCCCTCAGGAGAAGACTGATGAGAAAGGAGAGAGCAAATCTGAACTGAAGGAGGCTGAGGAAAAAGAGAAGGCAACATCAGCCTCTGAGAAGCAGAATGCTGATGAGAAAGAAGCCAAGCCTGAATGTAGGGAGAAAGCTGACATGGATGACCCAGCCAAGGCTGAACCCAAGGAGGCTGTTGGGAAGGAGGCGGCCATGATAGCCCCTCAGGAGAAAGACAAGATGGAGGAACCCAAGGAGGCCAAGACTGAATCTCAGAAGAAGTCTCTTTTGGATGAGGCTGAAGCTGGACCTCAGGAGGCTGATGGGCAAGACGAGGCTGGAAATGACGTAAAGGAAGAGGTGAGTGAGGTAGAGGACAGAAAGGAGGAGGCCCCATGAGGCAGGGATGCAGCCAGGTCTCCTGCCTTATTCCACCCACCACTGAGGGTCTCACAAAGCCTGGGGCAGGTGCTTGTGTGACCATGGCCCACACAGACCATGCTTGTTCCAGGAGCCTCATGATACCAATGACGAGCAGGACCAGTCTGTAGAGAGAGAACAAGAGGAAGGGGCAAGGATGGTCCCCAGCTCCCCCGAAGAGTGGCCTGCGAGCCCTACGGACTTCAGCCCTGGTGAGTGAGAGCCCAGGCCCTAGCCTGGGAGAGTGAGAGAGGGTGCATCCCATGGTAGCCTCGGCTTCCCTCTCTCCTGTTTCCTTCCTCCAGATGGGCTGGGTCCAGACACAGAAGCTTCCGGAGAGACCAGTCCTTCCACCAGGTAATGTCAACCTCCAGGATTTCGGCTCCAACTCTCCGAGCCACCTGCTTCCTCCAAAGTCTACCAGCATCTTACCTTGCCCCTGCCCCAGCCTCCCAGCACCCGATCTCAAAACATTCCAGGATTCCTGTACCTATCTGCCTGCCCCAGGGCACAGTCCAAGAAACCAGAAGCCAGAGGTAGAATGGTGTGTGGAGGACACCTGGTCCACCTCCCACTGCGCTGGTGATGTCTCCTTCTTAGGAGCTCTGGATCTTATAGCTCAACCTGTTTCCATGGTGATGGCATCATCCTTAAGAGCCTGAGTTTGGTCAGTGGCTCTGCCACTTACCTGCTGTGTGACCTTGGCCAAGTCATAGTGCCTCTTCGGGTCTGTGAAATGGGCATCCAATTATTCTGAGGCTTCAGTGCCATGATATGTACAGCGCACTTAGCATAGTGCCTGGTGCGTCAGTCTGGATAAACTGACAACCTCATTCTTGCCACTGCACACCTTCAGTCACTGAAAGAATCTTAATTCTTTGTGGAGCAAAATCCTAGTCACTTTCTTAGGGAAAGAGAAGCTAAAACAAAAGTAAGAAGCTGCTGTTGAGTTGATTCCGACTCCCGGAGAACCCGTGTGTGCGGAGATGAACTGTGATCCACAGGACTTTTCAGGTTGTCACCTTCCAGAAGGCTATCACCAAGCCTTTCTTCCAAGCTGCCACTGGGTGGGTTCAAACTGTCAACCACTCCCCCAGCACTTAATCGTTTGTGCCATCCAGGGAACAATAACCAATGAAGACGAACTGAACATTGTGTGGCAGGCAAGCTGGGTGCTTTTCACCTACTATGTCATATGGTCCTTAGAACCATCTTGTTTGATAGGTTTTCTTGTCCCCATTTTACAGATGAGGAAGCTGAGGCTCAGAGATGTGATGTGACAGTCCCAAGATCACACAGCAAATAAGAGGCAAAGTCAGAATTCAAACTCAGGTCAGCCCTCAGATTTGTCCTTGTTCTGCTCCATGTCTCTAACAGATCCTGGAAAACAGTTAGGGTTGGCATCATCCTTCCTTCTCTACCCTCTCCCAGTGCTGGGTGCAGACTAGCACATTCCCCACATACTACAGTGACCCTCAGCCCTGTGTAGGAACTGCTCCCAAGCCTGTCTCTCCCTTCTCCCAACTTTTCCAAATAGTGAGTCTTCTCCCAGTGATGTGCCCCAGAGTCCCACGGAGCCCCTCCCTGCTGGGGAAAAGCAGAAGGAAAAGGCCCCTGAACACAGGGTGTCAGCCCCTACCCGACCCCGGGGAGCCCGTGCCCAGAACCGCAAAGCCATCATGGACAAGTTTGGTGGGTAGGTGCAGGCCAGAGCTGGCTGGGTGGGTTCTCCCTGGGAGTCAGGGTGGCGGGGAGGCCTGAGAAGCGGTGGGAAAGCCCAGACTAAAGTGGGGTCCCCACATATGGGGCTCCTTCCTGACCTGGCTGTCTACACTTGGCCTCACAGGGCGGCCTCGGGCCCCACAGCCCTGTTCCGGAACACAAAGGCAGCTGGGACAGCCATTGGTGGGGTCAAGCAGATGCTATTGCAGTGGTGCCAAGCCATGACAAGGAAATACGAGGTAGGTAGGTGAGGGACCCCTCCCGGGACTGCAGTGTTGGGGAGGGTCTGAGGGAGGCCAAGTCTGGAAGGTGGGGAGGGGGCCATGGGCCGCCCTCCCCATGGCCCCGTCTGCGCCCCATAGCACGTGGACATCCAGAACTTCTCCTCAAGCTGGAGCAGCGGCATGGCCTTCTGTGCCCTCATCCACAAGTTCTTCCCCGACGCCTTCGACTACGCCACGCTGGACCCCACTCAGCGCCGTCACAACTTCACCCTGGCCTTCTCCACTGCAGAGTGAGCGAAGGGCAGCGGGGCAGCACGAGAAAGAGTCAGGGCGATGGGGTGGCCATACTGTTACTCATCCAGCCAAAATGTCGGTGCACCACGCACTGTTTCAGGCCCTGGGATACAGACATAAGCCCTGCCCTCCTGCAGTTTACATTGTACAGAGGAGACAGATCAGAAATGCACACAGAGCTGTGATCAAATGGACTCAGACTCGTGGCCACACCATGACTGTCAGAGCAGAACTGGGCTCCACAGGGTTTTCCGTGGTTGGTTTTTCAGAAGCAGGCCTCTAGGCGTTTCTTCCAAAGCACACCTCTGGGAAGACTCAAACCTCCAACGTTTTGGTTAGAAACCGAGTGCTTAAAAGTTCATCCCACCCAGGGATTCCAAATACACAAATAGATAGTCCAGGAAAAATTACACCATGGGAGGGATGGGAGAGAGATGGCCTGATGTTTGGGGTAGGTGGCTGCAAACATCAGGGTCAGATTCAGACACTGCCCACTGCTGGCCCTGTGATCCTGGACAGGCTACTTTACCTAAGCGTCCATAGTCTGATCTCTAAAATGGGAATGATGGCTTCTCTTTGGGGAGGTTGTTGTGAAACTTCTGTAAGTGAATTAAGTACAGCCCCCATCACAGCGCCTAGCCCACAAAAAATGTGGGCTGCTATTCCTTTAAGGAATGATGTCACAGTTAGGGGTGGCACAAACGGTGGCGGGTTTGGTGTGAACATTACTGTGAGTAGTAGAGGGGCTCCCCTGGGCACACCATCACACCCCACTGCCCCTGTTCCAGAAGGCACCTTAATCCCACTGAGGGAGAAGGGAGTGAGTGGGCAGCGCCCCCAGTGGGCTCAGTCAGCTGTGCAGTGGGTGAGGGTCCTTTCCAGATGACAGTCTTAATAGGAATGAAGAGTTTGCCACTCCCATGTAGAGCGAGCACCCCAACCGGCACCCCGGAGCTGGCTACTGCATTGGTTGTTGGGTGCCTGCCTCATTTTTTTGAAACCCTTCAGCCTGTACCCCACCTCTAGCCCCTACACCAGATCAGCTTCTGTTTGGGGCCAGCTATCGCTGCCCAAGAGTGGATTTCCACCAGGGGCCTGGCTTCTCCTGCTGCCTGCGCCCACAATGGCCTTCAGAGAGCAAGGAACCAGAAGGTCAGGTAGTCTGAGGGTGGGGTCCTGGCTGTCACTCACATTGGTCTTGGGCACAGAACCAAGATCATCAGAGTCTCCTGTTCCCCTTCTGCCTACTGAGGATGGAAATGCAAACCAAAAAGTCAAAATTTAGTGCTCTTGAGTCAAGTCTGACTCCTCCCAACAGCCCGATTGGACGGAGAAGAACTTCTCCTTAGGGTTCCCCAGACTATGAATCTTCATGAGAGCAGACAGCCTCATCTTTCTCCCTTGAAGCAGCTGGTGGATTGAAACTGCTAACTTTTAGGTTAGCAGCCCAATGCCTAACCCACTGCGCTGCCTGAACGCCTTGGTTGAAAATGGAAGGAAGGAGGAAATGAGGCCATTCACGGGCAGCAGCTGGCATGTGGCAGTGAGGACCTAACATGGTTAGCTCTAGTGATCAGCCTCAGCAAAGCCAGGATGAGCGAGGACAAGGCCCCAAAGGGCAGCTAGGAGGACTTGTGTTAAATAGAAAAAGAACGAGCCGTTGCCAAGTTCCATGCAATTCCTGCAACATCAAGTTCTCCTGGCTCTGGGCCTTGGCACGTGCTGTTCAGTCTGTTTGGACACCTCTTTCCCCTAAGCACACCATTGGAGAGTAACAGAGACCTCTCCAACACAGGAATAGTCTCAGAAAAGCCCAGACAGCTTCATGGGGAGAGTCCCTAGACGGTACAAATATCTAAGAGATGAACTACTAGCCAAAAGATTGGTGGTTTGAACCCATCCAGAGGCACCTGGGAAGACAGGTCTGCTGACCTGCTGCCAGGAAGTGGCAGTCTTGAAAACCCGATGGAGCAGTTCTACTCTGTACACAGGACCTTGTGAGTCAGCATCAATTCAACTGCAATAAACAACACCACCGCATCCCAACTGACAGGTGACTTCACTGCTGAATTTAGCCAACTCTAGAACCAACTCCAATCATTCTTAAACATCCCCTAAAACAGAAGAGGAAGAAACACTTCCGAATTCATTCTATGAGGTTAGAATGAATACCTGATACCAAAGCCAGACAAAGGCACCTCAAGAAAATGGCAGACTAACATCCCTTATCAACACAGATGCAAAAAAACTAACTAACCAAATCCAAAAGAATATTAAAAAGACTATACACTACAACCAAGTAGGTTTTACCCCAGGAATGCAAGGGTGGTTTGACATTAGAAAAGCAATCAGGGTAATTGTAGAACAATTAAAAAACAACAATCAGGTAAATGTAGAACACCACATCATTAGAACATAGAAGGGGGAAAAAAACCACATACAGTCCTCCCAAGTGACAAAAGAAACAAACCTGGCACTCGTCTCCCATCCCTGTCTTTTGTCCCTGGCACCTCTCACCATCAGATGCTCTAATCCCATTGTTTACTCTTTCTCCTACCAAGATAATGTCAACACCAGGAGAGGAGACAAGTTGGTTTTGTTCCCTGCTGAGTCCCCAGAGTTCCTGATACAGTGTGGTTGTTGTACTTATTACTAAGTTGAATTCAAATCATAGTAGAACAGAGTAGAACAGCCCTGTAGGGTCTCCTAGGCTATAATCTTTACAGATGTAGATCACCAGGCCTTTCTCCCGAGGAGCCACTGGGTGGGTTGGAACTGCCAATCTTTTGGTTAGCAGCTGAGTGCTTAACCACTGCACCAAAATTCCTTTGCCAGGATTGACTCGGAGACTGGGTTTGGTTTGGTTTGTTTCATTTGGTTTGGTTTGGGTAGGCCCTCAGTAAATACTGGGAGCATGGAGGCTCTGTAGGATAAGCACTGGACTGCTAACCACAAGGTTGATGGTTCAAGTGCACCAGCCACTCTGAGGGAGAAAGATGAAACTTTCTATTTCCATAATGATTTGCAGGGTTGGATACCCCGTACAGGGTCTCTATCGAGTCGGAACCGACTCGACGGCACTTAACAATCAATACGCGTAGACTGAATGAAGGAAGCGTTCTGGCTGGGACTGGGTGTCCTGTACAAGTGTCCTGAGAAAACTGACCTAAGGGGCTCCCTGCTTCCAAAGGAGAGAGACACCTGCCCGTGGAAGGAGTGGGCTAGTGTAGCACAAGATGGGAGGGTCCTGCTCCCATGGAGGATGCACATTACCATGGAAACACAGCCTTTAGAGTCAGGCCAGGCTGGTTTGAGTCTTGACTCTGTTGATACCTCAGTTTTCTCGAGGATCTCCCTGCTCCAACACAGCTCATTCTATGGCTTTCATCCTCACGGGGCTATCTCGCCCCTTCCTTGGGCTCCCGGATTCTTCACCTTTGACCTCTGCTCTGCAGGAAACTGGCTGACTGTGCCCAGCTGCTGGATGTGGATGATATGGTGCGCCTGGCGGTGCCTGACTCCAAGTGCGTGTACACCTATCTCCAGGAGTTGTACCGCAGCCTCGTGCAGAAGGGACTGGTGAAGACCAAGAAGAAATGAGGTGCTGACTGGCCCTGTGGGCAACGGCAGGCAGGGCGCCCAGCTGACCAGGGAGGTCACAGAGTCAAGCTCAGGCAAGGGCAGGTATACTATTCTGATCTGCATTAAAAGTATTTTTGTAAAACCCTGTCTGGCCTCTCAGTGCTTCCTCCCTAACCACCCAAAAACCTGTCTCATCTGAGATGGTTACAAAAAGCCACCATCACGTGGGGTCATCTTCTCAACAATCAGCCAAGGTGCTCAAAAGGACAACAGCACTGAGAGTCAGACAGATCTGGGTCTCACCACTAACCAGCGATGTGGCCTGGGTCAGGGAGACTAAGCTCGTTGAGTTCAGCTGACAGTTCCCAAAGGAGAGAGGAAGAGATCCAACCTCAAATTGGCACTGTTAGGAGGAAAAAATGAAATAATGGGTCCAAATCTTCAATAACTGGTATCCAAGACTAAAACAAACAAACAAGCTAAATAAACCCAAACCTTACAATGAAGGTCACCGGTGCATTTTCCAACTCCCTTTCCCCTTTCCAAACTTCACTCAGAAGAGAGGGCTCCAGGGCTGAGGTTCCACAAGGCAGTTCTCCAGAATCACACCCACACTAAATGAGTGGAGCCTGGGCTAGAAGATACCCTAAGGCCTGTCTCTCAAAGGCCAGTGACTTCCAGTAACTTCCAACAATTGCAATCAGAAAGTCCCTCCCTCCAATGGTTGATCTGTGTTTCCACTGCTCATGGGAGATGAGCTGATTACAATCTTGTCTGCTTTATCAGCCTTTTGGATGGAGAACAGCCAGCTTCACTCAGTGCGGGAGGTGTGGACGCTCTGCTGATTGCAAAGTGTTTTTGTTGTGGTCAATTCAGCAGATGGAGACCTGGTGTGGCGCTGTGGGTTAATGCGCCAGACTGCAATTTGAATTGCAAGGTTGGCGCTTCAAGCTCACCAGCTGCTCCTCAGAAACCCTATACATGTCGCTATCAGTCAGAACTGACTCAGTGGCACTTCAAAACAACAACAAATATATATGAGAGCAGATCACCAGGTCTCCGCTCCCTCAGTGATGGATTTGAACTGGATTTGCTGGTGGATTTGAACTGTGGCGTTTCCGTTAGCAGCCAGCACTTAACCAGTGCACCACCAGAGCGCCTGGATCAGCTGTGTGGACCCCGGCAATCCACTGCAGCATTTTTGGCTTTAGCTGCCTCGTCTATACAACAGGAATGTTACCCTGTGGATTTTTTGAAAGTCCCTCTGGCTAAGGATGGCCCATTCTGTTTAGCTAGTTTCCCCCAAAGTGTTTAGGGCACGTGAGATTCAAGGCCAGGCAAGCTGGGAGTCCCTGGGAAGGAGGGCCATGTCTTTATTTGACAGTAGTGAAGTCCTCCCTCCCCAGTCTTCCCTTGCCCCAGTGAAACCCTCCCATGGCTGAATGAAGGCTCTGCTGGACTTCACAACACGTGAACACTTTAATGATTGTGCAACCCTGTGGGTTTCCAGGGCTCTTCAGGAACTGGATGCTGGGAGGGGCGCTGAGGAGGCCTGAGGCCCGGCCCCTGGTACTGGCAACCTAATGAGACAGTAAGCAGGGTTTTTTAAGCAAGTAGTCAGATTTCTGGGACAGAAGTGAGATTCTGAGGGTTGAGATGAACTCACAGAAAAGAAAGGTTTAGCACCTAAATCTGTCCAAGTCCATCAGGGATCTGGTGAACTGCAGTTAAACTCCATCAGCAAATCACTCCATCGTAAGTATGATTCCTTTCTGCCCCCACTCTGCCTCCCTCCCCCTAGCAATGCCTGGATCCCAGGAGGCTTCTGGGCTTATTTCCTGCAGCTGGCTTAGAACTCCTCCCTCCAAAGCAGTGGGAGTGGGCATCCTATACCACAGCATGCTGGAAGAAGACCGGCCTGCAATACCACCAACCTCACCTCCCCCGGCTCAGTGGGTGGAAGAGGGACTGGGGAGGGGTGCACCTGTGGCCAGGGAGCGCGTCCACACCACACACACACACACACACACCCCATGCAAACAAATGATTAAAAACCTAGGAAGAAGAGGATGGGTCACAGCAGGCCAGACCCCCAGTTCATGCTACATGACTGACCCCCATGCCGACAGGCCCTCACGGGATCAGGCGGGCCGCTGCACACCGTAGTGGAGGGTGAACTCTCTGGCATTGTTGTGGAACTGCTCTGGGTTCTGTGCCAGCAGGTCAGCAAGTTCCACCCGTAGGGGCTGCCCCAGGTCCGGTTTATTCACCAGCAGGATGAGAGCCTCCAGGACTGCGGGGAGAGAAGCCAGGTCAGGACGTCAGGGGAGGGAGGCTCCGGGTGCCCACTCCCAGATCCCAGAGACACCAGACTCACTAGTGAGGGGTCCTCAGTGGGGTTCACCACTTAGGATCAGTCTTGTGCTGCTAGTTACTGTCAAGTCTGACTCATGGTGAACTCATATGTGCAGCGGAAAACTGAGTTCCAGAGGGCTTTCAGAAGGGTCTTCAGAAGCAAATCAGCAGCCCCTACGTCGGCTGGGTTCAAACTGCCAACCTATTGGCCAGTAATTGAGTGCCTAACTGTTTGGTCCACCAGGCCTCTAGGATGACTCTGTTATTGTTGTTAAGTGCCAGTGAGTCGGTTCCAACTCATAGCCATCCTATATAACCGTTTCCAAGAAGTGGCTGGTAGGTTTGAACTTTTGAGCTTGCGGTTCAAACCCACCCTGTGGTTCAGTGCTTATCCTCGAGCACCATACCAGGACTCCAGGATGACTCTACAGCCGACAAAATATCCTCCTTGTTCCTTGGCTGATGATGCCTAGACTGGGCCAACCAGTGGTTCAAACTATGGCTTCAGAGAAGGCGCCCACAAGGGGATGAACAAGACTAGTCAAGTTTGTGAGTTCCATTGCCATTCCAACAGGTTTTCCTGTGTTATATTCATTGTTCTTGTTGTTGTTGTTAGGTGCCATCGAGTCGGTACAGATTCATAGCGACCCTATGCACATTGTTGTTGTTGTCAAGTGTTGTCAAGTCAGTTCCAACCCATAGCGACCCTGTATAGGGTTTCCAAAGAGCAGCTGGTGTGCTTGAACTGCCGACCTTGCAGTTCAAACGGCTTTGCAGTGTGGCGCATTAACCCACAGCGCCACACCAGGACTCGTCCTGCCCTGCTGCAAGACCAGCTTAGGAGTTCTTGACTCAGGAACCCGGTAGATGTTGGTGTGAATGAGCTCCAGGGGGTCTTAGGGGTACTCCTGGTTCTGTGACTGTCTGTATGTTCACATGCCTCGGGAGAATCCTAATGCACATTGTCACTGCTGTTGTTAAGTGCTGTCGAGTCGATTCTGACCCATAGCGACCCTGTATAGGGTTTCCGAGGCTGGAAATCTTTACGGAAGCAGAAAGCCTCATCTTTCTCCCGCAGAACAACTGGTGGTTTCGAACTGCTGACCTTGTGGTTCGCAGCCCGATTCATAACCACTACACTACCAGAGTTCCTTTAAAGCACATTAGGATACCAAATAAATTATTTGGAAAAAAGCATTCTGAGCTAAAGTCTGAAAACCACTACTATCCCAGTGGTTTTTAATCTTTCACTAGCAGTTTGAGGAACTTAGTGAAGGCAGGGGCCCATCTCCTTAGGCATGTGAACATACAGACAGTCACAGAACAAGGAGTACCCCAAAGATCCCCTGGAGCTCATTCACACCAACATCTACCGGGTTCCTGAGTCAAGGACTCCTGAGATGCTGGTCTTGCAGCAGGGCAGGACGAGGCCATTGGCTCTACAGTTGCACTGCCCAATACAGTAGCCACTAGCCATTCCATGGTGATGGTTATGTACCATCATACAGGAAGAAAACAAAAGGTCATTAAGACAAGAAAGAAAAAAAGACAAAATGGATGTCAGAAGAGACTCTGAAACTTGCTCTCCATAGTAGAGATGCTAAAGCAAATGGAAGAAATGAAGTGGTAAAAGAGCTGAATAGAAAATTTCAAAGGGCAGCTCGAGAAAACAAGTCAAATATTAAAATTAAATGTGCAAAGACCTGGAGTTGGAAAACCAAAAGGGAAGAACATGCTCAGCATTTCTCAACCTGAGGGAACTGAAGAAAATATTCAAGCCTCAACTTGCAATACTGAAGGATTCTATGGGCAAACTATTGAATGCTGCAGAAAGCATCAAAAGAAGATGTAAGGAATACACAGAAGCACCGTACCAAAAAATTAGTTTCAACCATTTCAAGAGGGAGCATATGACCAAGACCAAATGATACTGACATAACCACAGAGGGCTATAGCTGAGAGCAAAGTGCCCAGCTGATATGAAGTGAGGGGAGATGCACAAGAATGCCCAAACTTGTAGATAGTACCCATTTGACCTAGCTTCAATGGCTTGATGATCAGAACTCAACTAGAGGAAAATTTGAAAAAAAA